AACAAATGACTCACCGCAGCAACGGAAATCGCGAATGAGGTCTGGGAGCGCCAACTCGTCGGAGCTCCGGACCCTCCATGCGGAATCCCCATGCGGATCCCTCTTGCATGGTGGTCCCCCAATGAGCCCCAGGGCCCTGCCACTCCTCAACAAGTCCTTCCACAATAGCCGGATATCCTCCCTGAACAGATCACCGCGTACGGGATCGCACGCCACGTCGCATGATATGGCCACTACTGTACACGGGCCCTGCACAAGCACTGACTCCAGCGTTTCCTGTACAGATTCGGTCCTTCTCACGCAGAGAAGAGTTGCGAAAAGAACAGCACTTGATATGTCCGTGTTCGTGGCATGTGGTCCGCACATGTGAAACCATACTGTAGAGTATGAAACATGTGCTCCTTCGACGGGTGTGGTTCGGTCATCCCAGCAGGTCGCATCTTCGGGAGGTGTGTATCTAGCAGCCGCTAGCAGCCGCCAGGCCTCCTTACATTGTAGGCTGCACCTGGTTGGGGAGTTCAGCGGCTCAGCGACCCTCTGTGCTAGGCGTTAGTCGGGCGCGTCCCCCTACAAGGGGATTTTGGATGAAACAATATTCAAACAATACTCCAAATGGTCAAAAAATACTCAGAAAAATCCCAAAACTATTTTGCACTATTTTGGAATGTTCCTCCTGTAGAGGGACAGGCCCGACTTAATGCTAGGCATTTGGTACCTCGTCGTATTGCACGTTCCTTCCGATCCTGTGTGCGTTCCGTGCCTTCCGTCCTTCGCGCCGCCTGCCTTTGCCCTCCTGAGGGCATACCCTACGTGATGTCATAGCTGCGGGCAGACGATACGGATTACCATTTTCGTCGGAAGGACTAAGGAGGATTAAGCCCCATTTGGGAGCTGTTACGCCGGAGTGGGCCTCGGACCAAGCGGGATTAAGCCAGATTAAGCGGGATTAAGCGGGATCAAGCTGGATTTAGCCGGATTTCGGACCAGGGCAAAACCAGAATTTGACCTCCCAGAAATTGCATCCGAATCCCACCAGCCCTCTGGGCGTCGGTGGTTTCGGGAGTTTCCTCTTCCACCCCTCCTTCTTCCCCTTCGGGGAAGGGTTTACCCCTCCCCCTACCCCCTCCCAATGGACCTGGACAAGGGGTTTCGCGAGGTGCCGGAGAGTCCGAAACGGCCTCGGCGAGGAAGCCAAAATCATTGGTTTTACTATGGTTTGGGCCCCATTGTTTTGGCCTCTTGGGGGGGGATGCTAATTAAAGCTCCCCTCTTGTTTGATCGATCTCCCCCAAGATGGCCCCAAGAAGCGCCCAGGAGGCCCCAAGAGGTCCCAAGATGGCCCCAAGATGGCCCCAAGAGGCCCCCAAGAGGCCCCCAGGAGGCCCCCCAAAGGATCCCAAGCGGCCCCAAGAGACCCCCCCGAGGCACCCAAGACGCCGAAGAGCCCCCCGGGACCGCCAAGAGACCCCCAAGACGTCCCAAGACGCCCAAGAGATACCCCAAGAGGCTCCGAGAAGCATCCAAGAGACCTCTGGCCCTTCTGTTTGCTTCCTCCTCCTCCTCCTCCTCCTCCTCCTCCTCCTCCTCCTCCTCCTTCCTCCTCCTATCCCTTCTCATCCTCCTCCTCCCCCTCCGCCTCCTCCTCCTCCTCATCATCATCCTATGAATCCTCCTTCTCCCCACTCCCTCATCCATGCATCAAATTTTCTCCTTCGCCCCCGCTCTCTCCTTCACACGGTTCGGCCGTCCCCCTCTTTGCTCCCGCACTTCCCTGATCACCTCTCAACTCGCCTGGACATCGTTTCTGGATGGCCTGGTGGGGATACTTTTTGTGATTTGCGGCCCGCAAGGAAGAGTCCAGAGGGCGTGTAAATCGGGCTGACTGGGGCACAGAGCCAGATAATTTGCGAACCCAGCTGTCACTGTCGACAGCCGACCGCACGTGCAACATGCAGAACAAATTGGGGAAAGCGGGCAGACGGAGGCAACAAGCCTAAGAGATGCAGAGCAACAGTCGAAAGTCAGCCGCGCGTGGCGACGTTGCGCCAGCACCAGGAAGCCGGGCGCAGAGCAGGGCGACGGAAGGACGAAAGAGGGGGGAAAAGAAATATGCCTCACTCACGGAGCACCAGGTGCTCGCCGGCGAGCCGACTCTGACCCAATCAATGGTGGACAGGTCGTGAAGCCTGGTGCGAATACGCGAAGCGTCTAGAATTACGATATGCTGTGTGATCAATCGCGTGCTGTAGCCCTCCAGGACGTAGAAGGCACACCGAGCAGGTCGGAAACAACACATGCCTCTCCGCCAATCTGCTGCGCTTCTGGTGTAGCCTGGCCACATTCACTTCCTGCGCAGCTTGGCTGGGCGTCTGGTGTTCGCAGGAGGCACACTGAAACACTACCTTTTCTACCAGGAATTCTTCATGCGCCCCGTGTCGCGTACGAGTGCAAACAAAATTGATGGTCCATATCTGTACAGCCGGCCCAAATATCTGAGCCGGTGCCACCTCATCAACACATCCACTGGTGGTCGTTGTGCCGAAGAAAGAACGTGTCATCTCATCCTGTTGTCTCACTGTATATCCGGATACCTAGTGCCTTACGTTGCCCTGAACCGTTTCAATTGGGCCTGAGTCAGCATCGGCCAAGCCCCTGCGCTGTACTGTTTCCCAGACATGGTGAATACGTCCGCTAATTGTAGCTTCCTCGAGACAGGCAGGTCCGTACTCTTGAAAGCGAACTGGCGCAACGGCTGCGCAGAGAAGGAGGTGGAAGTCCTAGTCCCTGAGTGTCTGCTATCATGCCCGCCGGGTGCTTTAGCTGCGTACTGCTAGCAATCTGAGTCCCGTCGGGAATGCCAGAGTCGCTGGAACCTCTAGGGTCCTTCCCTGGTCGAGCCCGAACTTGCGCCTTTCAGTGTGTGAACCTTTTTCCCGCAAACGTGAGTAAGACACCTGTCTTGGTGGGAGGTACTTTGATCTTTAGGCCTGAACGGCGAACGACTCGGAGATGAGGGGAGGGAAGGAGGAGGACTAGAAGGGAGGCCCTCAAGGGTCAGCCAGAAGAGTGCCCTGCACCCCCCCCCCCAACAAAAAAAACACACCCGAGTTGAAGGGCTATCTACACGTTGATTCCCCCTCCACACTCCACCATACCGCGCAGCTTCACGACACAGTGCCATTGCGACGAGATCGTGAAAACGGCTGCCCACGCATGTACAGCACGCCGCCGCGCAAAGCAAGTACGGCCCGCAGCTAGACTGCAAAACTACACAGTGGCTGCCATGGAGACGGTGCACGTCGGGACGCGGCAGGCTAGGCCAAAGCGCCGTGCAAGAGGGAGAAAAACACAAAACCTACCAGGTGGGGAGCAGACTAAAACAAACCTCATGGTCTGCAAGCGACTGCAGGTGAATGCGGCCTTCTGTGGAGCGTCTCTGCCCGCGCCGGACTTCAAAAGAAAAAGCGCCGTTCACGGCTGACGTGCTGTCTGCCACTGGGATGCGTGCAGTGCAGAAGCGCAGCTCTCAGGTGGCCACGAACTCGTCGGCACAACCCAGCAGGTGACAATTTGCAAGACAAGCACGTAAGAGTGACCCTAGGCTAGAGTGCCCTTTGGTGCGCGGCCTTAGGGGGGCCCGTGGGGGCCTGGCACAACCGCGCAAGCCGAGGCCGTCGGATTGCATCAACGATCGGCGGGGCGCACTTCGACAAATCCCTAGCGCCAGCAGGCAATTGCGGACCTCCGCCAATTCGTTCCGGGCGCCCCAGAACGCCCGCCCGCAATCGGGCGCCACCGCGGAATGTTCTGGCACTGCCGGGCCGCATCGCGATGACGTCTGACCGGGTCCGGCGTCAAGGCCGAAACCGGGCCGAAGCTTGGCCCCCCCGCGGCCGCAAATGACTTTCAATAGTAAAGAATTGAAGTGTAAAGCGCGGAATGCGGAAACTTCAATGTTAGTCACAGTTAGTCAAAGTTAGTCAAAATTATTCCAAGACGATTTGGGACCGGTCCCAAAGCGGAGAGCACGTCGCCCGCTCGACTGCCCCCCCCTCGCCAAACGAAGCACGCGGCAGAATACACCGTGCATGCGTTGCGATCGATTGCGACGGGCGCACCCTGAATCAAGCGCGCTCTGATGCGATCGCAGACTGGTGCAGCGTGCGCCGACACGAGGCCGAGCGCACTCTTCAAGAAAATCTGCCCGACCCCATTATGGCCAACACTAGGTCACTCTGGCCAAAGGCCACTCTTACGTGTAGCCGAGCTGCCGGCTTGGCGTGCCGGTACACACGCCATGCAACACAAACCAACGCAAACGGCCTCCGTCTTCCGGAGTCCGCACGGAAGGACAAGGAGATTACGCCAAATGCGAGTCTAGAGTCTCAGAGCCTGGGGAATCGAAGCCCACTGGGCATCCGAAGAGGGTCTTGGGGGTAGGGTTGAGACCACGGCCACCCTCGCCTCATTGGCCTGGACTGGGGGGACGGAGGATACAAGGAGGAACAGGAGGAAAAACGGGAGGAGGATCAGGAGGGGGAGGAGGAAGAGGAGGAGGACGAGGAGGATCGGGGAGAGCAGGGAAAAGGAGGAGGCGGAACAGGACGAGTAGAAACTGCAGAGGCAATCCAACAGCCGCGACAGCACCCCTCCTGCTTGCTGAGGCCCAGAAGAGGGAGCAACAACAAACCCCAAGGAGATCTGAAATCTCACTCCTCCGACCACTGAGCAGGGACCGACCGTCTCGGCATTCCTATAGTCCTACCACGAAATGTTCTTAGAACCCCAAAATGTTCCAATAACAAAAAACGTTTTTAGAACTTAAGCCTTATGTGTTAAAACAGACAGCCCCAGCCAGAAATGTTCTAAGAACATTTCGTTGCAACCACAAAAGGTTATTAGAACATTCTTTGGTAGGACTATAGGCGAGCTGGGACGCTTCGCCACTGCTTGAGACCACTGGAACCTCGACCCGTACACCCTTGAAGGGCCCAGCGCGCCTCACGAGCTCCGAGCCCTGCCGCGTGGACCAGTCGCCCCTCGGGAACGGCTCCACGCAGACCCCGCTCCAGCCGGCGGCCCTCTCCAGCAGGAGGGTGTTGGACAGCTCCTGCGCTCCCCAGGCGCTGGTGTCGAGTCGGACTCGCGCCTTCTCGTCTCCACGCGCCTCTCTCGATGAGGAGGCACGGTGCGCGATCGCTTTCCCTCCTCCTTCTCCTCCTCCTCCTTCTCCTCCTCCTCCTGCTCCTCCTCCTCCATCATCATCATCGCCACCATCATCATCATCGTCGTTGTCGTCCTCGCCGTCATTATCATCATTATCGCCATCATCATCATCATCACCACAATCAACATCATCAACATTACCAACATCATCAACAGCATCATCCTCATCCTCATCCTCCTGGCGCCCTGGATTGGTAGGAGATTCGACGATTTCAGGCTAATAATGGCACCCGAGAGAGCCCCACGACGACTTGCAAGCACCCGACAAGGTACCCAAGATGGCTCAGAGCCTCTAAAACCCAAGAGCGACCTAGGACAGCCCAGGGCGACATACTCACGGATGGAGAGCGGGTGGGAATCGCCTTGTGAAAAAAAAGGTGGTTCTCGCATGAGCGCCGCGCCCTCTCGTCTAAGAAGTTTGCAAGAGTTTTACGGATAGAAGGCGGGTGGCATTCAAAATGTGGCTCTCGCAATAGCGTCGTGCACACTCGTCGCGTTTTCAAAACGGCGCCTTCGCCTCAGCGACGGGCACGTTCGTCTCAAAAGCTTACAACCGCTTGAAAGTGGAAACGGGCCCGTTTCAACATGGTGCTGTCGCCGTAACGCCGCGCACATGCATCACGCATGGAGAACGGATCCTTTTCTACGTGGGATTCTCGCCCTAACGCCGCGAACATTCGTTTCAAACGTTCAACATGTCCTACGGTTTAAGTACGGATCATTTGAAAAATGGGGCTCTCGCCTCAACACCGCGCAATACGTACCAGCGCAGTGTTTACCGTGATGGAGGGCTCCTGTCTTCAACTGGAGTCCTCGCCCGAGGCATCCCTAAGTTTTCCACTGGCCCGAGCCTTCAACACACAAAAAGCTGCACGGATCAATGGCGGCTCTTGAAAAAAAGAGAGATGCCGGTTGAAGCGCCCTGGACGTCCATGACCACAGGTGCAGGTTAATGCAACAGTTACTTGCGTGTGGGGGCGGCCCTTCTCTGAAAGGGGAACCTCGCTGGACACCCCGTCGAAGCGCATGGTCATGTTTCGCTCCCCTGGCTTGACGCCAGAATCATGCAAGGCAGATGATGTTCAGAGCGGGGCCCTCGCCACAATGGAAAGCCCAGCTGCCCTGTCATCTCGAGATGGGGGCGCTTCTGTGTGCGCGTAGTGTCTGCGAGCGTGTGCGTGCGTGTCTGTCGGCGGAAAGTCACCGCCCAGTCTGGGGGGCACCCCAAGCGACCCGGAACGGCGGCACTGGCCGAAGGCCACTACAACCATGTTCAAAGCGGGGCCCACGCCAAATCGGAGAAAGCCCAGCTGCCCTGGCATCTCGAGATGGAGGCGCTTCTCGCAGCCTGCCGCTGGGCCTGCAGGGGCGTACGACGAGGAGACTCAGCACGGGAGGGCGTATGGCAGAATCGTTCATGCACCTTTGGTTTTCTCTGGTCCTCCTCCTCCTCCTCCTCGCGGATCCTCCTCCTCCACCTCATTCCTCCTCGTCCTTCTCCACCTATTCACTCCTTCATCTCTCTCTCTCTCTTTCTCTCTCTCTCTCTCTCTCTTTCTCTCTCTCTCTCTCTCTTTCTCTCTCTCTCTCTCTCTTCCTCTCTTTCTGTCGGGGTTGCTGGAGGTGCCCCTGGCCCAAGGTGCCCCCAGCTTTTCGCTCCTGGGGCCCTCTGGGCCTCGTGAGGGGTGCTCTGGAGGCCGTGGGGGCCTCATCGGAAATCCTTGGGGCACCTTCGGCCAGGGGCACTTCTATCAACACCCGTGTATTGCATCCTCCTCCTCCTCCTCCTTCTCCTCCTCCTCCTCCTCCTCCTCCTCCTCCTCCAATCCGGCCAGCTCCTCCGAGTGGTTAGCCCCGACCTCCAGGAAGAAGCCGGGCCGCGGCATGCCGCCGAAGTGGTGCAGCACCCACAGGTCCTGCGAAGCAGAGGAGCACAGGAGCAGGGGGGGGCAGCAGAACGAGGAGGAGCAGAACAACGAAGAAAAAGAGGAGGAGGACGACGACGACGACCAGCAGGTGGTGAGGGCGGGGTGAGGGCGGGGGGGCGGGGCAGACCTCCACCCCCGCGCTTCGTCAAACGTCACGACGGAAGGCGCTCTTGCGATTTTCTGCCGGTGCGGACCCACGGCAGGCCCCGGGGACGGCGGGATGAGGCGTCCAGGGGACGGGGCGGGTCTCGGAGGAGCCCGCTGAAGAGAGGTGGCGCCCTTGCCGTGGGGTGCGACCAGCAGGACGGTGTTTTTCTCGATCAAAGTAACGAAGATTGTGAACTACACCCTCGAGAGCTGCAAATAACGACAGCACAGCTGCGCCGCAGCGGGAGATGGAGGGGGGCGACTGATCGCCGTCGAGCCGCACGAGTCCGATGAGCACGACTAGCAGGGCGGAGGAGGGCGGAGAGAGCGGGAGGAAAGCCTGAGGAGTCAGCGGCGAGCGAGGGTGGGAAAAGTGAGAAGGAGAAAGTTTCTGCGACTTCGGGGAAGGCTCGGAAAACTCTTCGGGGGCGGCCAAGAGGGGGGGGTCCAAAGGGGGGAGGGTGCAAATCATGGCTGGCGGCATGTGTGCGGCCCGGGAAGGGGGGGCAGGGAACGCATTGAAATAAGAAGAGGCGCCACGAAATCTGGGAAAAGATCATGGCCACCGCCATGATATCCACCCCCCCCCTCGTCATCGCCCCCTTCTTTGCCGCCCCCGATCCTCAGAAGGCCGGGAAGGCCCGCCCCCCCTCGGACGCCCGGTGGTCTCTCGGTCGGAACCACCTCGGCTCTCTCCGGTGGCCGCTCGCGGGGCGGTGCGCGCACCCCCCGGAAGCGCCCTCGGCGAGGCGCAGCCGCCGGAGCGCAGCCCGAGGCCGGAAGACCGCGGAGGAGCGCCGAGACCGCCCGAGAACCTCGAGCCTCGAACCTCGAAGCCCAGGAACTTTCCCCCCCACGAACCAGAACCTCGAACCTCGAACCTCGAACCAGAACCTCGAACCTAGAACCTCGAACCTCGAACCAGAACTTCGAAGCCCTCGAACCAGAACCTCGAACCTAGAACCTCGAACCTCGAACCTCGAACCTCGAGCCGCCTCGTCTCACTGGCCCCCCCCCGACGCGCCGCCGAGCGGAGGGGGCAGGAGGAGCAGGAGCGCCCAGAAGGTTTCGGGGGGGGGGGGGAGGGGGCCTGCCAGGGGTTACGCAGAGGGGCCGCGGGACGAGGAAGACGAGGGGGAGGAAGAGAAAGGGGGCGACTGCGAGGGCTGAGCCATTGGGGAGGGCGGCGGCGAGGCGGCGAGGAGGCCGACGAGGAGAGGAGGACGACGACAAGGCGAGACGAGGAAGACGACGAAGAGAGAACGCTCATGTTTTAGAAGGAGGACGACGGCGAGGGCAGAGCTGTTTGGGAGGGCGACGACGAGGCGACGAGGAGGAGAAGGACGGCGAGAGGAGGACGACGACAAGGCGAGACGAGGAAGACGACGAATAGAGAGATTGCCTCTATGTCTTTGGGGGAAAAGAGAGAGAGAGAGAGAGAGAGAGAGAGAGAGAGAGAGGCATTGGGCTTGGGGTCGAACAGCTGCGCAGGCGAGAGGAGGGCAGGGGGGAAGGGGGGCAGGGGCCTGGCGGCGTGGCCAGCGGGTGCGCAGCCTGCGCGGCAGGGCCGCCCCACTCTCCTGACCTCGGTGCGCCTCCTCACGCCTGCCTCACGAGACATGCGCTCGGCATGAGCTGAAGGGGCCCTGGGACACACAAAGAACTACACACAAACAAACAGATTCCCCATGTTTTCCTGTATTTTCTGGGTCTCAGTCGTCCCCCCCACTTCCCATATGTTCCTCTATTTTCCTGGGAGTCGACGATTCATTGTGTCTGTGTGTTGTTCCCCTTCCTGATAAACAGAAACTTTTCGCGCCCCGCGCGGACCTCTTGGATCCGCGCTAGACCCCCCCCCTGGCGCGCGGAGCGCGCCAGGGGCGGCGCCCGAGGCGCCGCCAGGGGGGGGGGCCCGCGCGGATCCAAGAGATCCGCGCGGAGCGCCAGAGGTCTGTGCTTGGGGCGTTGTTGTCTTCTTCGGTTGCTCCCTCTGCCCTTCGGCGGTGGACAAACCTCCCTTCAGTAAACCTCCCCGTAGTGAAAACGGCCTGGGACCGAAACAGATGGACCTGGCCCCGCAAAAATGACGCCCGCGAGGCCCTCCCGCGAGCCGAAAACGGCTAGTTCCTTAATCGACGTGTCGGGGCAGGAGGTCTATCCCCCTCCGATCCTCAGAAGGCCCGGGGGACTTCCAAGCCTTCTGAGAAGGCCCGCCCCCTCTCGGACGCCCGGTGGCTTCTCGGAACTAACCTCGGAGCTCGCGGGTGGCCGCTCGCGGGGGGGTGCGGGCACCCCCCGAAGACGCCCTCGGCGAGGCGCAGCCGCTCGAGCCCTCCTCCTCCTCCTCCTCCTCCCTCCTCCTCCTCCTCCTCCTCCTACCTCCTCCTCCTCCCCCTCCTCCTCCTCCTCCTCCTCCTCCTCCTCCTCCTCCTCCTCCTCCTCCTCTCCTCCTCCTCCTCCTCCTCCTCCTCCTCCTCCTCCTCCCTCCTCCTCCTCCTCCTCCTCCTCCTCCTCCTCCTCCTCCTCCTCCCCCCCCTCCCCCTCCTCCTCCTCCTCCTCCTCCTCCTCCTCCTCCTCCTCCTCCTCCTCCTCCTCCTCCTCCTCCTCCTCCTCTTCCTCCTCCTCCTCCTACCACCGCCTCGGGCAGCTGGCCCGCTCTGCCGCCGTGCCTCGGCACCTCGACATGGCCCGCCTGCGGCAACCCGGACTTCGTGGCCCTCGCCTGTGGCGTTCCTTCCGCGCCGCAGGCTGGCGAGGGCTGGGGCGAACACGTGCGAGTCTGGCCTGGGCGCTGCTTCCTCCCGCCAGGACGACGAGGCCTGTACACATCCACTGCTCCCTGGCCAGGCGCATCCTGACCCCAGCAGCGGTGCATACGCCACTAAAACAAGGCTAGGATCGGGATAAATCGCTCCAGAGCGTTCCGGAGCGCTCTCAGAGCGTTCCGGAACGCTCTGGAGCGGCCGCGGCGCCCAATACATCCTCCAAACCCGCCGATTCTCTGAGATTTCGAGTTATCCCGATCCGATTTTGTCCCGACCTTCGCGTCGTTTTAGCCACGCCCTCCTGGCTGGGCCCCGAGGGCGCATTGCACGGCTCCTGCTGTTCCGGGCGGGCCCGGCCGGGGAGCAGCGGATATGCCTAGACTTCGCTGCCCGATGCCACTGCTTCGTCATCGCGACCCCGTCCGCAGGAGGCCACGCGGGGCGCAGGGGGCTTCTCTGAAGGGGCCCTGGGACACGAATAAATACACACACAAATATCAGAATCCCCATATATGTTCGTATATGTTCTGGGTGTTCGTCTTCCCCCCCAATTCCCATATTTTCCCAGATTTTCTTGGGAATCGACGATTCATTGTGCCTGTGTGCTGTTTTCCCCTCCTGATTCTTGCCCATCATAGTCCCCCTCTTGCGGCAGTACTTCAGGTCAGATGCCAGCGGTGCTTACGGCTGGTGCCTCTCCAACGGCGTCCCGTCCGCAGGCCTGGGCACGGGGGCCTCGAGCCCATCGTAGTCCCACAGTGCGGCGGTGCTACAATCCAATGTTTTGGGTAGGGGGCCACATGCGAACCCGACCCCTACCCCCCACGATTTCTGAGGGGAAGGGTGGGGTTCACTTCGCTCGGGAGCTCCCGAACGGAGTGAACCCCACCCTTCCCCTCAGAGATCGTGGGGGGTAGGGGTAGGGTTCGCCTGTGGCCCCCTACTGGGCACCTTCGCTGCGCTGTCTCTCGTGCTCTCCTCTCGCTGTTGCTCCGAGCGGTCCCTGTGGACCTGCGCGGGCGCCGGGGACTCCATCACCCTCGCGATCGCTCGGACGCCCATTCCCTGTTTTTTTTTGTTCGGTCTCGTGCGTGGCTGCTTCGCCAAATGATCGAGGCTGCTCCTCGATGGTCCCCTCCGAAGGTCGGGAGCGGCAAAGAGGGGGGGGTCCAAGAGGGGGGGGTGCAAATCATGGCCGGCGGCATGTGCGCGGCCCAGCGGGGGGGCCGGGAACGTAATGAAATACGAAGAGGCGCCGTGAGATCTGGGGAAATGTCATGGCCCCCACCATGATATCCACCCCCCCCTAGTCGTCACCCCCCTCTTTGCCGCCCCCGAGCAGGAAAGCTGCACACGTCCGAGCGATGCCAAGCCACTGCGCGGAGCCCGGCGCGGGCGGCCTGCCGTGTGCTCTGCGCCTGCGCCGCTGCCGGGTGGCCCGCGGCTCGGCAGGGAGGCTCTAAGGGGCGGAGCCCGTCCGCCGTGGGCCCCGACGCGCGCTCCTCGGGGAGGGGAAAGGACACACAGGCACAGTGAAGCGTCGATCCCCAAGGAAATGTGGGAAAAGGTGGGAGTTGGGCGGGAGGACAGAAGCCCAGAGAAGATGTGGGAAAAGACGGGGCGCATGTTCTGCTTGTGTGTATTCATCTCTCTGTGTGTCCTGGGGCGCCTTCGGCTCCGGCGGCATCGGGGGGTGGTGCCTGCTGCAAGCTGGGGTCCGCCCGTGCGTCCTACCTCTGCGGCTCAGCGCGTGGTGTTCGTGGAGCCCGCCATTGGAGGCCTGGAAATGGGCACCAACACCAACACAGGGGGGGGTTCCTCCACAAGGGGAAGATGATCCTAGATTTCGGTGTTGGTGGTAATATTTGGGCCACCTTGGAAGCCAGAATATTACCGCCATCACCGGGATCGGGATCTTCTTCCCTCGGTGGATGCACACCGACGAAAATGGTGTTGGTGTCAACCTGTAGGCCTGCGATGCCACTGCAGAGTACGATATGCCAACGCATGAGCGTGTCAATCGTCTCGTCACGCATGGTGTTGGGGCGACCCGCGCGTTTTCTCATCCCGCCGTTCATG